TATGTTCAGATGCCCTCCCTCCGTCCCTCCGTCCCTCTGCCCCTCCCTCCGTCCCCCGTTGCCCCCGCCCGTCCCTCTTGCCCCGGTGCGGTACTGTACAGGCTGCACTGGGCACAGACAATCGCCCCTGACACTCCCTTTATGACGAGCAGACTTCAGCATAAAAGAATATTGACAACAGACCCCCCCCCAGTGTGAGCCGTGGCCTCAATACAAACTGTCAGATTCAGCAGAAGAGGAGGATGACGGGAGGAGGAGAGGAAGAGAGGGAGGAGGAGAGGGAGGATAGGGAGGAGGAGAGGAGTAGGAGGATAGGAGAGGAGATGAAAGAGGAAGAGAAAGGAGGAGGAGAGGAGAAAGGAACAGAAAGGAGGAGGAAAGGGAGGAAAGGAAGGAGGAAGAGAAATGAGGAGGAGAGGGAGGAGAGGAGAGAGGAAGAGAAATGAGGAGGAAAGGAGGAGGAGAGGGAGAGGAGGAGAGAGGAAGAAAAAGGAGGAGGAGAGGGGGGGATAGGGAGGAGGAGAGGAGTAGGAGTAGGAGGAGAGGAGATGAAAGAGGAAGCGAAAGGAGGAGGAGAGGGAGGAAAGGAAGGAGGAAAAGAAATGGAGGAGAGGAGAGAGGAAGAGAAATGAGGAGGAGAGGAGAGAGGAAGAAAAAGGAGGAGGAGAGGCAGGAGAGGGGAAGAGAAAGGAGGAGGAGAGAAAGGAGAGAGGAGGAGATGAGAGAGGAGGAGAAAGGAGGAGGAGAGGGAGGAGAGGCGGGAGAGGAGAGAAGACAAGAGGGAGGAGAGAAGAAGAGAAGAGAGGAAAGGAAGAGAAAGGAGGAGGAGGAACAGGAGGAGAGGGAAGAAAGGAGAAGGAGAAGAGGAGAGAGGAAGAGAAAAGAGCAGGAGGGGGAGAGGAGGGAGGAGAGGAGAAAGGAACAGAAATGAAGAGGAAAGGGAGGAGAGAGGAAGAGAAAGGAGGAGGAGAGAGGAGAGGGAGAAGAGGAGAGAGGAAGAAAAATGAGGAGAGGGAGGAGAGGAGAGGAGGAGAAAGAGGAGAGGAGAGAGAAAGGAAGAGAAAGGAAAGGAGGAGAGGAGAGAGAAAGAGAAAGGAGGAGGTGAGGAGAGGGAGGAGGGGAGAGCAGAAGAAATAGGAGGAGGAGAGGAGAGGAGGGGAGTAGAAGGAAGGGTGTTGAGGAAATAGAGGGAGGAGAAAAGAGAAGAAGAGAAAGGAGAAGGAAAGGGAGGAGAGGACAGGAAAAGGAGGAGAGGAGAGGAAGAGAAAGGAGAAAGAGGGGAAGGAGTGGGAAGAGAAGAGAGAGGAAGAGAAAGGAGGAGGGAGGAGAGAAGAGAGGAAGAGAGGAAAAAGGAACAGATAGGAGGAGGAGGGGATGGAGAGGCAGAAGAGGAAAGGAGAGCAGAATAAAAAGGAGGAGGAGAGGAGGGAGGAGGAGAAAGGAGGAGGAGAGGAGAGCTACCGTGATCCAGTAAAAATATTACGATAAATGAATCATGGATGATCAAAATACCAAAAAATAATAAAGCTCCATCATGAATTAAAGATGCATTGTGTAACTTTTCTGGTGGAGAGTCTGTCATCCATTGCTCCTCCTGGAATGTTCCACAGTGTGACATTAAAAATTTCTACCTTACATTTACTCAATTACAGGTGGTTTTATAGCTCAAAAATACAGAGAAAAACAGGTATTTCGACTGTGAGCGGGGTCGCCTCTCCGCAGATCTGACCTGCACGTTCATCTCCATAATTATAGAAAGGTTTAATGCCATACTGTGAAACAATCCAGGCAAAGCAATAACATCTCCATGGAGAAAAGCTTCCACCAGAAAAAAATAAACAATACAGCTTTAATTTGCAGCCAGGTGTAGATTGTCTTTAACAGGAAACTGCATCTGAGAGTTCACACTTCACTGTTTAATTTATTGATCGTTGGGAAAGTCCCGTGAGATTAAGTATTGTTTTCATTTGAGTCCCGGGCCCCAGAGGGAAACCTTTCGTACACAAGAGAAAAGCAGAACACCTGGATGAGTACAAACAGGATGAGTGGGTGAGAAAAGTAGAAGTTTGAAACAGCAATGTAATATCTGTACCGTATTTTTTGGACTATAAGGCGCAATGACAATAATGTTGAATTCTCTCGTTTATTTTCATACATAAGGCACCGGATTATAAGGTGCATTAAGCGAAACAAACAGACGACACTTGAGACTGATCCTTTAGCTCAGGCGTCCACGATCCATCGGCAGTTCGTGGCGTAATTCATCTGGCGTTTCCTCCCTGTCTTGGTGAATGTGGATTATGAATGTGAATGTGGGTGGATCATTTAAGTTAGTTTTTTAATTTCCTATGAGGAGGACTCAAATATACATTGAGTAATAATGTGTTTAATTGCTAGGGCTGGGTATCATTCAGAAGTTGTTGATACGATACATGCCTCGATATAAAGGCCACGATACGATACATATCTCGATACAGTGAGCTTTCGATTCGATACAATAAATATCAAAATGATTCGATACAGTTCAATAAAAAATGAAGGCTGTGACACTGAAAGTCTTTGTTAAACCACTTTTTCTGCAAAGTTAATATGAAAAAAGCCAATTTTAATCATCAAAACAGTGAAAATGTCAAATGTGTCGCATAAACGAGTTTCCTTCCACTAAACAAGCAACAAAACTGCAGCTCTGTAACAAAATCATTTAGTAAAATATATCAAAAAAATACTCTTGGAGATATATCGATACAGCCTCCGACTGTATCAGTCGATACTGTATCAGCACATTAAACGATACGATATATTGATATTTCAATATTTTTGCACACCCCTATTTAATGCAGCTTTGTGCACATTTGTTTATGTTTTACAGAAACTAAACTTAAAACCAAATGGATAATTAGCAAAAACTATAAGCACTGAAAAAGACCCAGCTTGCTTCTTGTGCGCTGATGTGGTCAGTTTCTGTCGGACTAAAGGACACGACTCACTCTGCGAGGCTCCTGACTACAGTCGCCGTAATGCTCCGACAAACAATCAAGTGGTGCAGCTTCGTATCATAGTCGTGCTAAAACTTTTTGACAATTTTTATTTTTTGAGTGCCGTGTGCCACATAAATTCAGTTTGAGGTCAGTAAGCACAACCAGAATTAAAACATAAAGCACACTGTCACTTTTTGAGAAAATTTATGAATTTTAAGTGCGCCTTATAGCCTGAAAAATACGGTATATCTGTAATGTGTTTGTCTGTTGAGAGCCGAGTCTTCTGTTGTGCTAAAAGGTCAAAGATTAATGAATATATGTATTACAATTACTGACTCCTGGTGGTAAAGTGAAACAGTATGATTATATTGTTTAAGTATAGTATAATCTTATATAGTTCATCGTTTATTATAGGCTGGGTATTGAGGGGTTGATTCAAAAAGAAGGCTTTTATCCAGCACCAATGGATTTGGTCAGATCAAGTCGCGTATGTCACTAGTTACCCTCCTTGAAGATGAAAGCGCCTTTTAAACCAACCATTTGTATATAGAGCCAAGACATGAGAGAAGACACAAGATATCAAGTTAACATCCACCTAAATCCCATTTACACAAAACATGTCCACAAAGCTTCACAAACTTGTCATTGGTTTGCGTCATGTGTTTGTAAGATGGTAAATAGAAGATTAAGAAAAGAAAAAAAAACTGTAAACACATGCAAAAAATATATCCCATAGCTTTAAAGGTGCACTGTGTAACTTTTTAGTTGAGGTTTTGTTTTTTTGTTTGTAGCTTTTTGTTTTGGTTTTGTAGTTCTTTATTATCCCTGTTGGGAAATTGTCCTCTGCAGTTCACCTATCCTTCTGGAGCAGTGGGCAGCACGTGGGGGTGCTCAGGGACCCATCTTTGTGATCTTGTCGCTAGGCTTGGTCAGGACCTTTAGTGCGTGTTTTGGGTTGGGATGATTGGGGTAACTGGAGTGCCCAGATGAAACCCTCCCAGACACGGGGAGAACATCTAACTCCACACAGAGGGATCGACCCCGGAACCTTCTTGCTGTGAAGCGTGAGTGCTAACCACTCAGCCACCTTTCCAGAGGTCTGTTACTTTCTTTGTTTCTATAAAGATGTCATTGCTCTGCTCCGAATGTTCCAAAATATAACATTAAACAACTCTACCTTACATGATTGGATTACAGGTGGTTTTAAAGCTCAAAAATACCTAGAAAAACAGGCATTCTGACTGTGAGCGGGGTCGCCTCTCCACAGATCTGACCTGTAACTTGGCCTGGTTTGGTCTCCATGAAGACAGAAAGGTTTAATGCCATACTGTGAAACATTCTAGACAAAGTAATAACATTTACCGTATTTTCCCTGTTATTAGACGCGCTCTTAAGCCTTCAACCCCATCAAAAAACGACTGCGCGCCCACAATCCAGAGCGTCCTATACACGAATCCACTCGGGTGTCCCAGCACGACTTCAGTAAACTACAAAGCCTCACCACCCGCAGAACACGCAAACACACACAGAGCAGACAACGACCCGCAGACACACTCATCATTCCTCACCGATGAGGAACGAAACGGAGGAACGAACCGAAAAGCGAGTGCAATGTGCCACTCTGAGCCACAACTGAACAATCTGAGTCACTGCAAACACGCCGACAATCCAGCGGTCCCAGACAGCACCCTCCCTACACGCCACAACTGAACAAAGCCCAGAGTCACTGTGAACGCCACAAACAAAGTCCCACTGACCCATCCAACTGTTGTGTTTCGTTTAAAGTCCAGTGCGGTTTATTTGTGAAAAAAGTTCGAAAATAGACCATTTAATGACAGCGCACCTTATAATCCAGAGCCCTGAAAATACAGCACATATAGAAAAGCAAATGGCAGACACTCCATCTGAAAAGTTACACAATGCACCTTTGATAAAATGCTGTATGACAAACTTCCGACCATTTCTACCATTTAACTCCCCCTGTCTCCCCCTGTATGTACAGAACACTAGTGTATGCCTTACCTGGTCTAAGAAGCTGAAGAGTCTGACTGCTCGGTCGATGTTCTGTCCGGTGTTGGTCACTCTTTGGGAGAAATCCTGGAGCTGGGCCCAGAAGGCGTGAACTTTGTCCTCGTAGGCCTGGAGCTCTGCGGAGGAGATGTTGTCCCAGTGCTCCAGGCGCTTCAACAGAGCCTGCCCCCGTTTACACCAGTCCTACACGAGAAATCAGATCACACAAAGTTTAGAGTAGTTTAGGGTCCACATAATAATGGCTAATGAAATAGTAATTGGTTTGCTAATTAGCTGTTTCTTATCTATTAGTTGGTATTTATCAAACATGTATTAATGCTACAGAAAAGTCCATTTTAATCCCGACTACTTCAATGGGAATAAAACAGTTAATGTCTTAATATTTGCCAAATACAGTCTTAGACAAAAATGCATTAAAAGCAGTTTATAAATACAAACAAACATGCAATGAAGCACTGATTATGCATTTTACTATTAACTAGCTGTGGTCCTTAAACTAAAGAGTTACCATTTTTTCTAATTATATCTAATAGTGGGATAGTATTTGAGATAAATACTCATATAAATTACATACATACTAGATACTAGTTTTATATGTCATATGGACTTCAAATCTGACTGGAAATCAACACATATAGAGAATATTGTGCAAAGTTCTTGTACTGTAATACCAAAAGTTTCATGGTAAAGTTATGGACTATATATAAAGGACAAAAAACGCATTGTTTTGTTGCAAAGTCTGGGCAACTACTACAAAATCACTGTTTCCCTGTATGTAAAATTCACACACGTCAATAAATATCAAAACTATGTACACATCGAACTGATCCGATCATACATTTACCGTATTTTTCAGACTATAAGTCGCGCTTTTTTCATGGTTTGGGTGTTTCCTGCAACTTATACTCAGGTGCGACTTATATATTAAAATTTTCAGACTGACAGCCGCGAGAGCCTCTAGGCTTCTATGTCAGTATCTAGTACTGCTATTACGCCTGGACCACTGTCGCGTCGCACTCTACTGCACATATCTCCTGTAGACAGACCCTCTGTCCTGCTGCAAATAGTGAAATATTCAGCCGAAAACGGTAATCGAGCAGCAGAAAGAAAGTTTGGAGTGAGAAACTTGTGAGGGACTGACGGAAAGTGGGGGATGGAGAACACAGCTTCATGGCAACCTGGCATGTGCACCATAAAACTTTCCTGGAAGTCACTGGATGAATCGACAAAGCCTGAAGTTCAGTGACAACCAAAACCATCCTGTCGGGATTCAGAAAGGCCAGAATAACTCTAACTGGAACTGATGCCGAGTCTGACGACAGCTACACAGAAGAGGAAGCGGCGCTCAGTTTACATCATGGATCTATAGTTTATCACCGGGAAGAAGAATTCAATGGATTTAGTGATTTGGAGTGAGATCATGAGTTTGGTAAACTTATGTTATGTTGTTTATGCTATAATTATCTCAATAACTGTTTATGTGTTACATTAACATATTAACGCCTATTCAGCCTGTTGTTCTCTGTTCTATTTTCATTACTATAACTTGCCTTTCAAGATGAAATGTCAGTTCCTGGTCTCTGATTTTATAAAATACATTTCCCCAAAAGGTGTGACTTATATATGTTTTTTCTTCTTCATTACATTTTTTGGCTGGTGCAACTAATACTCCGGAGTGACTTATAGTGCAGAAAATACGGTAAATAAATTGAATATATATGTTTAAAAGTAGATTAAATAAGTGAACAAATATTCTTTTTAAAAACACTTGCATCTAAAGTTTGATTATTGATAAATATTGACAACTTTAATAACTCAAATTAGTTAAAATAAATACATAAATTAGTTAAATGAAATCTGCACTATGTAATTTTTTTTTGCTTGGATATGTCATTGCTCTACCTGGAATGTTCCACAATAGGACATTAAACAACTCAGTGGGGTCGCCTCTCCACAGATCTAACCTGTAAACTGGCTTGGTTTGGTCTCGATGAAGATAGAAAGGTTTAATGCCACACTGTGAAACATTCCAGGCAAAGAAATAAAGCATTTGACGTACCCTCAACCAGAAAAGTTACACAGTGCAGCTTTAAACCCCAATACCGATAAGATTAATGCAGATAAAGGCGTTAGATTGCACGGGCTGGGGCAGGTCACGTTTAGAGCGTCTATAAAGTCATAATTTCTTGTTCGGACACGAGGCTGGAATGTAACGTGGAGCCCCCCCCCCGGACATCTGAGTCAGCCGAGTCTACAACAGGATACAGCAAAAAACGAGCTGACGGGAAATCACAGCCTGAAGAAACGTGGCAGAAACACACATTTCACGCTCACATGATTAGTCATATTTTAAGATTTTTCTATTGGAATTTATGTGTGTGCGTGTGTGGGCTGAGGGAAGAGGATGGTGCGCTACAGCTGATAACCACAAGAGGGCGATGCAGAAACACGAGACAAACTGTTTGAAATCAGATTTGGAATGGCTAAAAAGAGAAAATTAAAATAAATAAAAAATAAATAATAAAGAAGTACAAATCCTATATTGGAATTTAGTTTATAAACAAATCTATATCCACCATTATGAATATTAAAAAGAAAATAATGCACCTTACAAAATGCACTTTAGAAAACGGGGGCTGTTTTTAAAGACTCTATTTGACGTACAATATTTTTAACTATTTATTATTATTATTATCTGTGCTGCTGTTGACCTGGACCTGAGTGTAGTATTTCGTTTCTGTGTATTTCATATAGTGAAATGACAAATAAATTCTGATTCTGAAAATCAGAGATCGACCCATTGTTTAGAATCCAGAAAAAACTATGTCTGAAAAGTTCTGTCGACATTTTTGGGCCAATATATAGGGCAGATTTTTATAATTTTCCTCAAATTATGTAATTGAAATTTAGTACAAACTCACACACTGACTTTTAGAGAGCTGTGGATCATATTTAGTGCAGTTATCGGTTCATATTCAAGTGTTAAAATAAAACTTTGTGTATTTTTCAGGCAGCAAATCAACTAAAAAAAAAACTGAAAATAATCACATAAAAAAAATAATAACGGGAAATTTAAAGCTGATGTGCTAAAAGGTAAACATATCTCTAAAGAAAATCAAAAAATGTGCAGTATATTTTATATTTAACCAGGAAAGCAAAACTGAAATTTGGAATATAATTTTCCTGGTCTCAAAGTGGAAGGTTGGACACTTTTTGTACATGTTTTTAGAGGCAGGGATCAGGAGAACATGCAAACTCTGCACAGAAAGGCCACAATGTTCAGGACTCAAACCCAGGACCTTTTTGCTGTGAGGCTGAAGCACTAACTGCTGCACCACTGTCTCCCAATTTTACACAATAAGGACATAAGGAAATAGCTCTCAAATAAAAAGTAATAACAATTAATTTAGAAAGACATTATTGTTAATACTAAAAAACAACTAATATATTTTTAAGACCTCTGTACATAAGACATACAGGTTTTAATGCCGTGTGTGTAATCAGAATGTGTATGTGTTTTTCGTACGAAGGCGGTGGGGCAGAAGTCCTTAAAGTCTTTCTGGTGTTTGAGGAGCAGCGCCAGTGAATCTTCGGGTTCATCCAGAGTCTTCAGTTTGGTTTCTCCCTCCTCCTCCAGCCACTGCCGCACCTGAGACACAAACACACACACAGGACCGTCAGGAATGTGCTAAAATGTGCTTATTTGCTGAGTCCTTGCTGAGGTCTAGCACAAAGCATGAATGGAGCGTAAAATGAACCACAAAAAGCAGAAATGTCACTTTATACAGTTGCTAGGGAGATTACACTACATGTTTCTCTCTCTTTTTGAAATTAGTTTTAATTCTAGACATTATACTTAATATTCTCATTTTGCATAAAACCAAAACAGCATCTGCAAAATTCTCGATTTTTCTCCCACTGCTTCCCATCCATAGTCTAACAGAGGGGCCATCAAACTAAGGCCCGCGGGCTGACTCCGGCCTGAAACGCCCCTTTTACAGGCCCCCAGCCCCTCTGCCCTCAACCACTTGAACTTGCCCTATGAGGCAATTATCAAAATTTGTCATGGCCTGTTTTTTAAAATTACTTTTTGGCAAATAATAACATCTGCATCTTGGATTTTGTTGATTTTTTCAATAAAAAAATGATATTTAATCTTGACTCTTTCAATGGGAATAAAACGGTTAATGGCTTAATATTTGCAAAATACAGTCTTAGACAAAAATGTATTGAAAGTACTTTATAAATACAAACAAATATGCAATTAAGAACTTGTTATTCATTTTACTATTAACTAGCTCTCAATATGTGGTCTCTAAACTAAAGTGCTACCATTTAATTCTAGACGTTGTACTTAATATTCTAATTTAGCATAAATCCAAAACAACATCTGCGAAAGTCTCGATTTTTTTCCCACTCTTTTTCACTGCTTCTCATCCTTGGGTTTTGTTGATTTTTTCAATTAAAAATGATATTTATATGACGTATTTATATTTACATTTAAATAATTATATGACATATTTAGATTTACCTCTGAATTTGTGCAGTTAAGGACAGCAAAACTGCGAGTGTTAAAGCACAAGTCCACCATTATGAACATTAAAAAGAAAATAATGCACCTTACAAAATGAACTTTAGAAAACGTGGGCTGTTTTTAAAGGCTCTATTTGACATAAAATTTTTTAAACTATTATTATTATTATTATTATCTGTGCTGCTGTTGACCTGGACCTGAGTGCAGTATTTCATTTCTATGTATTTTTTTATACTGAAATGACAAATAAATTCTGATTCTGATTCTGAAAATTAGAGATTGACCCATTGTTTAGAATCCAGAAAAAACAATGGCTTCTGTCTGGTTCTGTCGATATTTTTGGGCTGATATATTGGGCAGATTTTTATAATTTTCCTCAAATTATGTAACTTAAATTTAGTACAAACTCACACACCGACTTTCAGAGAAATTTGTGCAGTTAAGGACAGCGAAATGACGAGTGTTAAAGTACGAAAAGTTGACAGAGAGTGCAGAGTTTTTAAAGAACAGTGGACGACCAATAATTTTTTTGTTCAGTGTAAGAACCGTGCAGTTTGTCTGATGTGTAAAGAAAGTGTGGAGGTTTAAAGAATATAATCTGCGTCGTCGAGGTCGTACAAATCTGTTATACGGTGCCCCATCACAGTCAGGAGCGAAAATTTGGCCCCCAGAGAAAAAAAGTTTGGCGACCCCTGGACCTGCTGCGCTATACTGGCAAAAGAAAATGATACTTTTTTGCATATTCTATTGGTGTTGGCATATAAACGCATCCATACTGATCAAGAAGAACAGAATAAATATTAAATAAAAGTACCAGTAAATAAGATCACATCATTCAAATTGAGTTTTTACACCAATTTTGTGAATATGTCAATGTTTTGCCAGTGATACATGCACAATAAAGCCGCTTCTTCTCCTTCTCTTCTTCAGGTTTTCCATATTAAAGTCTTCCTGGGGCCATATGTTCGTCATGACTAAAAGCATCAGGCCAGTATCGAGTTTCCTGTTTCAAATTCAAAACAACTTCAACTTTATGATTGGTTTTCTGACTTTTGACCTTTACTTCTTTGACTTTTTCCATCCAAGCGTCACCGCCACAGCAGCTCCTCACACCCGCTGCTTCCTGCTTATTCATATATTGATTCGGATCTTCTTTCTTTCAATAAACCCTCTATACTGATCGTGGTTTAGGATAACTGATGCATAATATGAGACAAAACTGCAATATAGCAATTAACAATTCAAAATAGTACCGTATTTTCCGCACTATAGGGCGCACTTAAAAGCCTTTAATTTAATCAAAAAACGACTGCGCGCCTTATAATCAAGAGCGCCTTGTATATGAATTTATTGTCCACATGGCAAATAAAGCCTACATGTCCCATCATGCACCAGGGGACTGTGGGGCAGCCCATTGTGGACATGTGACCTACACCTATAGACGCATCAAGAATCTTGGACGTTCCGGTCGATGCACAGTACATACTGGGAAGGATTTTCCGAAAAAGTGAGCATCAAACCGCCATGTTTGATTTCCCAGCAAGATGCGTCTATTGTCAAAGTCGATCTTTTCAAGTCTTTTGAACCATATCACTTTTGTTACTGGTTCTGATATTGTCATATTTTGGTTTTGGGATTCGGATATCATTAATTGTGTGGTTGTTGGATGTCCTAACAGCGGCTCGAGAAATGTGTTTGCGAACTCCATAAATGCAAAAAGGAATCAGATGTGTGTGACTGCAAACCTCCGTTCAAACTGTTTCCCTTCCCAACGGAATTGAAAAATAGTGAAAGGTGAAGGCGATGGGCAGTACTGATCCACAGGAAGGACCAAAAAGGAAACTTTAAATCTGCACTGTGATATCCATCTCGAGTTTGCCCTGATGAAAGCTGAAGGGCCGAAATGCGTTGGTGTGATTTTAACTTTATCTGCCATGTGGTATTAAAGGCTTTTACCGTATTTTCCGCACTATTAGGCGCTCTGGATTATAAGGTGCACTGTCATTAAATGGTCTATTTTTGAACTTTTTTCACAAATAAACCGCACCGGACTTTAAACGAAACACAACAGTTGGATGGGTCAGTGGGACTTTGTTTATCGCGTTATCACAGTGACTCTGGGCTTTGTTCAGTTGTGGCGTGTAGGGAGGGTGCTGTCTGGGACCGCTGGATTGTTGGCGTGTTCGCAGTGACTCAGTTGTTCAGTTGTGTCTAGAAGTGGCACATTGCACTCGCTTTTTCGGTTTGTTCCTCCGTTCCGTTCCTCGTCGGCGTGGAGTGATGGAGTGTGGCTGCGGGTGTTTTTCCCTGCGCGGTCGCTGTCTGCTCCGTGTGTGTTTGCGGATTTGTAGTTTACTGAAGTCGTGCTGGGACACCCGAGTGGATTTCGTGTATAGGGCGCTCTGGATTGTGGGGCACGCGGTCATTTTTTGATGGGGTTGGAGGATTAAGAGTGCGCCCTATAGCCCGGAAAATACGGTAATTATTTTATACTTTTTGAGTGCCTCAGTTTTTTCCTACTAAGGTTTTAGATCTTTTGAAATCTCAAGTAAAAGTACAAAATGGATTTAAACCACATATTTTGATCCTGTTTAAGTGTTTAGGTTAGTTTTTTCTAGTCAGATTGTGTTGAAATAAAGCTCAGATTAAAGTCTAACAAAGCCTCAGACAGAGTGTGCCTACAGATAGCATCACAACTTTGATGACGTCAGCTGTAAAGTATAAAAAAAAATAGCTACCGATAATTGAAATGAGGCATAATTACGTAATTATAGCCTGAAACAAGCTGTGACACTTCCACAGATCCAAAAAAAAAACACCTGTGGTCGTCCCCAAATCCTCCCGTAGCTGCTGTAGATCCTATCTGTCAGGATGCACTTATCTCTAACCTGCCCTGAAGCTAAACAAAACAGATAACTCAAACCTGGACTGAAATACCAGGCCTCGAGGCGACAACAACACAAGAGTAACAAAAAGAAAAAAAAAGAAAACAAATAGAAAAAGTTAAGAAACATCTAAGCTTGTCACGATAACAAAGCATGAAGTTTAAACTGTTGCTGAAGTAAATATAGACTTAAAGTTGGATAAAAATCAACCCTAAAGAAAAAAACTAAATGGTACAACATCAAAGCTTGACCATGGATGTCATATCTCTGCCTAAAATGTTCCACGTTATGGCATTAAGTTTATCAGTCTACAATGAGACAAGCAAGTTACAGTCAGATCTGCGGAGAGGATTATTTTTTAAGTAATAATAATAATAATGTGATTTAATTAATTCAAAAGACTATAAAGTGTTATGTTTTGAAAGATATAGAGCTCTGGAATTAATGAATTATGCGTTAAATTTGGTTTGTTTTAATTTATATTTTGTCTCTTATATGTACAGTGAGTCGTAAGTGCAAATTTGTTGTTCATGTGTTGCTTTCTTTGTTGGAATTCTGTTTTGTTTAATAGGGTTTGGTACTTTCGCTTCAGCTTGGACACTTTCTGTCATGATCCACGTAGTTGTGATCTGTTTTGTTTTTGTTTTGTAGTGTTGCAAAATGACCCAATAAAAAAAATTAATAAAAAATAAAAATAATAACAAATAAATAAATACAAATAATAAATTAAATTAAAATAAATTAAAATAAAATAAAATAAATAAATAATAAAAAGAGAGAACGCCCAGCAGGGTGTCCGCAAAGATCGGGCAACTTTTCGTGCTTACGTCCGTAAAGTGTGGTTTTCTCCGTTCGTCCTTTCTCCTGTGGTCACCTGCGAGCCCGTCCTGACAATGAGTCCTGTTTCAGTCCTGTTTCAGTCCTGTTTCAGTCCTGTTTCAGTCCTGTTTGTTCAGTCCTGTTTTAGTCCTGTTTTAGTCCTGTTTTAGTCCTGTTTTAGTCCTGGTTCAGTCCTGGTTCAGTCCTGGTTTAGTTCTGTTTCAGTCCTGGTTTAATCCTGGTTTAATCCTGTTTTAGTCCTGTTTCAGTCCTGTTTTAGTCCTGTTTAGTCCTGGTTTAGTTCCTGGGTTAGTCCTCCTCTTCAGTCCTGGAATCAGTCCTAGGTTAGTCTTGGTTTAGTCTCGGTTCAGTCCGTGGCGTATGCAGCGCAAAAGTTTGATATAATCTCGGGTTAACGTGCGGGTGCGGTGCTGTACTGGGCGGGTGCGGGTCTCCAAAAATGGACCCGTGCAGGACTATAAAAAATTCATCTTGGGTTCGTTACATAAAGAAGGAGGAAAATGACAAAAGGACGACAGCAGCAATAAGTTTTCAGAAGGATGCAAAAGAAAAGTGTATAAAGTTTGTGGTGAGAGGTTTTACAGCCTTAAAACAGATAATAATTGTAAAATATAAAGTTGACTACTTCTCGAGTAATTTTTAGAACGTAACCCCCCGCGATAAACGAGGGACCACTGTACACATTTTCAAAACAGAAACAACCCTATTATCTTTTACAGACGTTTATAACAAAGACTCGCAAAAGAGCTGTACTGAGCACGCCCAGACTGACCTCAGCGAATCCCGACTCCAGTCCAGTGAACTCCAGGATAAAGTTTATCTCTTGGGTTTTGGAGTTCGACAAAGTGACGAGACGATGCAGCAGTTCATCCACCTGATCATAGAGAGAGGAGACTGTCTCCACTGCCGCCCTGTTAGGATAAAACATGATGTAATGAAAAAGCACGTGACGGGTGAGAATACACATTACACTGAAACATTGTCAACGTAATTATATCTGAGATTTTATTAAAGGTTTTCTAGTTTTTAATTTAGATGAAGTTTACAATTATACTTCTGACTGGACACGGGCAGGATATTTCAGTAAAAAGACGAGGATATTTTGTTCTTTACAAGAGCATTTTAAAATCAAAATAATGGCCACCTTTGTGAAATTAAATTGCGATTTTAATTCAAAATTATTTCAATGGACGCAATTAACAAATTACAAAGGCTGAAATTTTTAAAGGAACATAATTTCCTCCACAAACAACAAAATCTCCTGATTTATTCTGCTTAAAAACTGCTAACCTTGTAATAAGTCTGTGCAATTAATTAAATTTTGAGTGTGATTTTGATTTGTGTGTCAAATGATTTCCAAACTCATCTAATCAGGTTGAAATAATTTAGCTTAACACAGTTTATTTTGGGATTTTTAAAAATATAAATAAGTATATTTATTTAATTTTTTAGATATAGAGATTGTAGAACAGCCAGATATATAGTTTATTTTGGATACATTTATGTTTTTCTATGCATTATTTCATGTTCAAAGTATATTTTTTTCATTTTATGTTTTATACATCACAAAACTGCTCTAAGATACATATTTGTAGCCTATATTTATTTTTAATTTGAAAGTTTTGCATAAATTATCAATAACAAAGTGTTTTTTTTGTTTAGTTTTTTTTACAGAGAAATGCTGAATAAATGCATTGTGTAACTAAAGAATAATCGTGATTTCAATATTGACCAAATAATCATGACAATATTTTTTTCCATAATCGAGCAGCCCTTCTCTGTAGTTTATGATCTGTACAAACATGTTTAGAAATGTGATTCTTGTATTACTTTTTCAGTTCATATTTCAGTCTTTTTGTAATTTCTTCTCCTAGACGTGTTTAAAAAGTGAACTTTGAACAAAATCCTATTATTAAAACATAAACCACAAAGTATCAGCAAGCTTTTTGAAGCCAACATTTCACTGCCAACCAGATCATTTCATCAGAGCTTCAACAAAGTAAGTAAGTCCTTGCCTGACCGACCAGTCCCTTCTACATTCTGTTTGAATCCAGAAAGGTCTGCAACCGGACCATAGAGCACGAAAAACTTCTGTCAAAACTTGAGACAATCCAAATGCAGCCGCTGATTTGTATCAAGTGTCTCTCAAATACAGAAGACAAAACATTCAGAACTAAATATATCACTTCTTTTACCTGAGTTAAGTAATAGTTTGGTGCTTCGGTTGCTGATTCTGCAAAAATAACGTGCAAATTTTTATGTGTAAATCCGCATTTTGCTTTTAACGGAACTGACCATGCTTCTCTCTGATTGGTTAATCCGCCTGTCAATCACAACCTCTGAAATCAGGGAGACAAGATGCTCCAGATTCACTCGTCTTTGTAAAGTTTTGTCAAAGTCTGTGGTTCTGGCTGGACAGGTGGCTTAAGTCCATTTGTTTTCGTTTATCTCGCTGATAATATTTTATTCATGGATGAGTCAAAATTTGCATCAATAAATCTCAAATCTAACCTCAATACTTCAGAAAAATCATTATTAATATTTTTCTCAAATCATGTTACCTGTAGTCGTCAGTGGCACAGATGCTGCTCTCGTCTCTTCGGAGCCTGGACAGTGACGCTCCGCCCTCCTGCTGCAGCTGGACCAGTCGACTGTCCTGAAGAATGCTGCACATCACTGCATTGTACTTGGACAACAGCTGCTTGGCATTCTGCGGGGGAAAAAAAATAATTTATTCATTTTTTAAAATACTTTATCAAATGTTTTTTTGCTTTTTACCTATCCTTTTTTACTTACTGTGTAATTTATATACCATATCATGATCAAGTAATTTTCATTGTTAATGTGGTTTATGTCAACCGCCACATAAACTGGTCATGACAATAACAGAGAATATTGGCTCCCTTAAAATGGCTCCGTTACCGTACCTGAAAACTGACTCTCACTGCTGTTGAGTCTATAGGCGAGTTTCATCGTTGACAAAAGCGCGCGTTGCATGCTGGGAATTATTTTGGTCGGCGGCAAGAAACACTAATTCAACATGACGGACGGAGCGAGAAAGCACGTAAAGGGTATTGATCCCGGTTATTTATTCACTCTAACAGCAGAGGACCAAGACAATTTGACCAGAAATTGGTCATAAGCATCGATGGAGCCAAATCACCCTTTTCAACCCCTACAAAAGGTGGACCAAACCAAATTTCTGGTCAGAATCGCCAACTACCTGGACAAATATTCACTTTGGCGATATCCACAATGACTTGGTGGAAACTCCTGGGCCATTCACAGCAGAAAAGATGAAAGCCTCCAAGAGTCTCGATGTGTTGTTGAACTTGTTGGAGTCCACGGTTTGTTAGGATCTTCTACGTTTGCTCTGCGAATGTTTGAAAGCCGTTTAATTCGCCGTTAGTGGTTCTTTTCACTCAGAATACGAAATAGACATTTTCCTTCTTCCGTGCTTCTATTTGTGTATCCGATAATTCAGCAGGAATTTACCATTATCGGGGATAAATACGGGAGGTTACGCACTGTGTTTGGCCGCTATCGTGTTTCTTGCCTCCGACCAAAATATTTCCCAGCATGCAACACGGGCTTTTAATAACAATGACGTCAGCTGAAACTCGCCTATTAACACTGTGTTTATGTTAATAACTATATAAGATGAAAACATGGGGGGTGGAGAGGGATATGAGCAGGAATGTTACTAGTATTGTATGTATGTATGTATGTATGTATGTATGTATGTATGTATGTATGTATGTATGTATGTATGTATGTATGTATGTATGTATGCATGTATATATGTAGGTACGTATGTATTATCTTGTTTTGTGTTGTTGTGGAACTATGTGTTTGTAAACTGTATGCTTTATGCTCTTGGTCCCCCTTGAAAACAAGATGGAGCATCTCAAGAAATATTTGAATAAATTCACATTTAAATATACACTACCGGTCAAACGTTTTAGAACGCTACACTTTTTCCGTTTTTTTACTGTTTACTGTTGACCAAAACATATTCTAAACTTTTGATTGATGAAAGTGTCCACCTTTGGCAGATATAACAGCTGAACACACTTGTGGCTCGTTCTTTCTACAACAGAAATCAAATATTCTTCAGTAGGGGTGTGCAAAAATATCAAAATATCAATATACCGTATCGTTTAATGTGATGATACAGTATCAATATCGTGGGCTGCTATATTGATATATATCGCCAAGAGTATTTTTAGTATATTTTACTCAATAATTTTGTTACAGCTACAGTTTTGTAGACGTTTAGTATCACAGCCATGATTTAGACTTTATTTCATATTGAACCGTATCGAATCAGTTTGAAATATGTCGTATCGAATCAAAAGTGCACTGTATCGAGATGTGTATCGTATCGGCAACTTCTTAATGATACCCAGCCCTATTCTTCACAAACCAGCTCGATGGGGTTTAAGTCTGGACACTGTGCTGGACACTCCATGTTTTCAAGTTTTACCATCTTGTTCTTTTTTTCCTTAGGTAGTTTTGGCAGAGCTTGGACTTGTGTTTTGTATGTTTTATCTATTTGGTCTGTTTTTGATGAGGTAACAACAATCTGACATTCGTTTTATTCTCTCAGCATATAAGATCACATGGAAAGAACATCACTGTCGACTCTGCCCCTATTGATGTTTTATTATCTTGTTTAATCTTGCATCTGTAGATTTAGACAGAAGATAGTAACTTCAAAACGCATATATTTTTCCCATAAGACTCCACCTTTACAGCCTCTCAACACACAAAACTCTCAAAGATTTTATCTTAACAAGATTTTGACAGATTGTACAGAAGGATTTATTGTATATAATTCAAAGTTTGATGTTTTGGAGTTAATGAATCATGATCTGTAAAGCGTCTTTGTGACATGATGTTTGTAAAAAGCACTATATAAATAAAAACTTACTTGTCTACTTTCAATCTTCAATTGTCTTCCCTTATAACAAGCAAACAGTGTTAAAGTCTATTAAAGGTAACTGAACCTTTCTAGGAGGTGGAAAAGTACCTTAGCTCCACCAAAAATGACCCATGAGAGCAACCAAATGTGAGATTTTGGGGGCCCACAGCACCCCGCTTAATAAAGATGCCCAATATTTGACAACGGATTCAGAATCTATGACCAAGAATCTACAATAATACAAATTTTCATCTTCCTAGCTCAATTTTTATGAAGTTATGGTCTCTCAAACATGTTAAAAAATAAATTAAGACTTCTGAAAAAGTGAGCATGGCCCCAAAATTTAACGGGCCATAGCTCAGGAACGACTGAAGGGATTGAGCCAAAATGTGAGATTCTTTCATTTTGTGATTTTAGAAATTTTTTGAATTTTTTTCAGCCAAATCTGAGATGGCTCATGATTTCATATGGACTGACCCAATTTCTAGTCTTATATGGAGCTATGCATATATATTGTATTACTATATTTCTATTTTATTTGTACTTTTACTTATACATTTATATAATTATGCCTCATTTGACACCATTTATATTTTTGCGCTTTGTTATTGTAATATATTGTGATGTGTGAGCTACTGTGTCCAAATAATTTCCCTTGTGGATCAATAAAATTTGTCTGAGTCTAAGTCTAAATGTAGTTAATTACCAAATACGATTTTTTCCTGCTTAACTGCAGCGTCTCGTCTCCGTGTAAAGTTGCCGTCTTATTTTCATGTAAAACAGCGCTCCACTTCACTCAGACTTGTAGGATTATGTCACATGTTTTGATATCAACAGTGTCGTGCAAGCACCATTTAAACGTTTATGTTTTATCCAATCATCAGGTTTGGCTACTTTAAAACCACTCCACTTCAAATACCACAAACAAGGTAATGTGTAAAATGACTCATCTTCTGACTGATCTTTTAAAGGTCCTATATTACGCAAAATCGCCTCTTGTGAGCTTTAAGCCGTGTTAGAATGCTGTTACCTCATCAAAAACGTACCCGGAGTTGTGTTTTGTTTCATTCACACGTGTCTGAGTAATCTTTTATTATCAGTCTGTCTACATCTCCAAAGCTCAAAATGCTCTGCTCCACCTTGTGATGTCATGTAGCTGTAGTTTAATTTTTGTTCGTAGAGATTTGCAATTCCAGGGATGAAATAATCCAAGTGATTCTAGTGAAGTTGGACGAAATAGAGCCCTGCACCTGACGCAAAACAGTGCGGCGCGGGACACAATTTGAAAGCTCATTGCAGGCGCAAGAGGGAACGCAAACTAAACATGAGTGTAAAGTAAAATCTACAAATGATTAATGTAAGCCTATCATACATAATCTGTGCTGGATATTTTATTTGGCGTTAATAAAAACATTTTAAGCAGCCTAAACTTGCGGATGTGGTCGAATCTTGCGCACATTTTAGACAATTCCTTTCCGCTTCTTCTTAAAAAAGCGAATGCCCCCATCTTGCGGGATTTGCGGCCGGGAGCAGGACAAAATATTGCATATGCAGGTGGGAATGGGAAAGAAAATTACAATTCTTTGCAGGTGGGAGCGGGATTGTACAGTGCGGGTTAACCAGGCTGGCGCCACCTAGTGCCTCCACTCAATTTCATTTCTACATGGTTTGCAAAAACCCCGGAAGTGCGAGTTCGGGCACCAGCCATACAGCGAAGAGACATACATTCTGTGTTGTCAATGATTCCCGAGATCGAGGATTTAACACCAGAACAAAGAGAATGTTTGGTGAATTTTATCAAGGGGAAGACGTTATTGTCCTTCTTCCTACGGGATTTGGGAAAAACTTAATATACCAGTTAGCCCCGTTAATGGAGCGTAACATACGTCACGACCAAATAGCAGAGACTGGTTAAATTAAAAAAAGTACCCGCCTACCGTGGAGCGAATGAATCCTAATGCTGCGAGGTCAGACGGTTTCCACAAAGTGAAACCGGCTGATAAATCAGGATAGGTGCAGGTAGGTGCGAGACCGAAAATTCTATCCCGTGCAGACCTCTAGTATGGAGTTTAAAAACACAGTGGAGCACTTTCTGTTGTACCACATGACATCACAAGGTGGAACAGAGTGTTTTCTGTTTGAGATCAGAACTCCTAAGAGTAAATATGCAGGGTTTGTGTGTTAAACATGTTTGAATGAAACAAAACACAACTCCAGGTCTGTTTCTGATAAGGAAACAACATTATAACAGATCAGAAAATGTTGGAATATGGGAGCCCTTAAAAAACTGACTCTTCAGGGTTGTAAGAGTTTAATTTAAGTTTGCTGGAACTCATCACAACTGCATTATAATAAAAAGTAAGACACATTTACCACCTCTGTAGATGATTTATGAATTTAAAACTATTTCAGACTGGTTAATGTGTAAATATGTCACCTGTGCATCTTCAGGAAGAGGTGTGGTCTCCAGGATGTTGATGGTTTCATGAAGGAGGTTGATCACATTGTTGCACTGATTCGTCAAGTTCTCCACTCTCTAAAAAAAAAGGAAAAAACACACATGCATGAACCCATTTTTAATATTAAACTAAAAGAACAGTGACCATAAAATTAGGACTCAGTAGAAAATAATTTTTGTAAATAAGGGTGTAACATGTATCCTTTAAAGGGCCCTTATTGCGCTATTTTCTGATCTATGTTAAAATCTTGTTTAATCATCACAAACAAAACACAACTCTAGGTCTGTTTTTGATGAGGCAACAACATTATAACATGTTTTAAAGCTCACAAGAGTCAATTTTGTGTAATATAGGACCTTTAAAGTTCTAATGTCGACATGTAAGACCATTCCTGTCTCTAAAATCATTTGCCAAGTTGAATGTTTTATTTTATTTCCTCTCAAAACTGTCCTCATTAATAATGTTAATAATAATGTGATGCGTTTACTGACCGCTCTGTAGCAAAGCCAGCTGCTCTGACTGAAGTTAAAGGAGCCTCCGAACTCGACAGGGAGCTGCTTCAGGTCCACGTGTTTCTGCAGAGACTTCATGGAGTAAAGCATCTCCACCTGAAACAACACAAAGTAAACATTTTATACAGTTTGATCTGGACACAACACAAGATAAAAGGTAAACTTGTGCCTTATTCCTGATCAGACTGTGTTAGAGTGTGAGTCCACTGTAAGTCATTCTATCTTGATCATTCATCTGCAGTTTTATTGATATTTCCAGTAGAATATCATAAAAAAAGAAATAAAAAATGTGCTTATTATCTTAGTCCCACTGAGTATGAAGTGAATAAATAATGCACAAAATAGACAAACATCTTTAAGCGGAGGTGGGACTTGCAAGTCGTGACTTGGACTCGAGTCAGACTTGAGTCACTATTTTTAGGACTTGAGACTTGACTTAATAAAATGGATTAAGACTTGGGACTTGGCTTGGACTTGAAGGTCAGTGACTTGGGACTTGAGAAGACTTGACCATAATAATTCACACTAAGATCTTGTCAAGACATTTAAAAAGGAAAAATTAACTAAATTAATTTCTACAACTCTTACATAAATACTCATATAGAAATTTACTGATTTTTTAAGTATCGCGTATCTTCAAAATCATATAAATTGCAAAAATCTAAGATATACTTGGTACTTTGGTTTAAAAACTTGAAATGACTTGAAGCTCAAAGCAGACGACTTGGACTTGACTTGGATTTATGGACCAGTGACTCGAGACTCGACTTGGACTTGCCTGTATTTGACTTGGGACTTGACTCGGACTTGAGGTCAAAGACTTAAGATTTACTTGAGACTTACAAAACAACGACTTGGTCCCACCTGTGTCTTTAAGTGTCTGGAAAAGTGTTATACAAGACTAATCCATCAAGTAATTTGAATTATTACACATGACAGAATTTGAATGATAAATAATTACACTGAGATGCATTTCAAACTTGCTAAAACAACACAGGAGAAATGCTGTAGTCTGTGGCTTGTAAATGGATTACAGCCTTTTATTAAAAGCAAATAATGAAAATGTGATTACGTGATTATAATGAAAACAAACAAAGCTATTCAAAAGACGTCGGCTGAAGCTAAGTCAGTTATACAGTCTATTTCTTCTACATTCAGACATAGTTTTATCCCAGTGGTACAATGATACAGAGTAAAGAACCTTTTGTACATGGAAATATTACCGTATTTTCCGCACTATAGGGCGCTCTGGATTATAAGGGGCACTGTCATTGAATGGTCTATTTTCAAACTTTTTTCACATATAAACCACACCGGACTATAAGGCGCATTAAACAAAACACAAAAGTTAGATGAGTCAAGTCAAACTTTATTTAACGCGTTCACAATAATTTTCAACTTTGTTCAATTGTAACGTGTAAAAAAATACTGTCTGAGAAGCTAAACTGTTATCGTTTTCACAATAACTCATAATTGTTCAAACAGTTGGGCGATTACAGCGTCCAGCTCGCCCGCATCCCTCTCGTCATTATCCGAGTCAGTGTGGTTACTGTTCCCTGGCAGTTCAGTGATGATTCTGGTCTTGGTGAAAGCTCGGACCACAGTTGATACTGATCCTTAGTCCAGGCGTCCACGATCCGTTGGCAGATCATGGCGCAAGTCGCTCGGCGCCGTCTCCCTGTCTTGGTGAATGTGTGTTCACCTTCTCTCATCCACTGCTCCCAAGCAGCTCACACTTTAACTTTATAACAGCCTTGAGTTTAAAGTGGGCGTTGTAAGCGTGTCTCTTGACAGGTGCATTTTGATATTAAAAGGAATCACAGTATGTTACTCCGCGATGCTCCTGACTACGGGAGCCGTAATGCTGCAAGTGGTGCGGCTTTGTAGTTTACTAAAGTCGTACTAAGACACCCCAATAAATTCATATGTAAGGCACGCAGTTGTTTTTTTTGATGAAATTAAAGGCTTTTAATTGCGCCCTATAGTGCAGAAAATACGGTACATAGATAATGCTAAATGTTAGATCAACAAAAACAGACAAATAGTTTTAAGCTTTCTGGGAATATTACCTGAAGATAAGGAGGTTTCTCCAGTCGTACCGGTGAATCTTTATTAATTAACAGCAGCACAGAGTGGACAGAGCCTGGGGTGCCCTCCTGAAAAAAAAAAGAAAAAAAGGAAGATACACAACAATAAGCGAGAGACAATAATTTAAAAAAAAGTATTAGATAGATACAAATGATCAAACAGGATGAATGGCACCACAAAATCCAGAAAATCAAACACGACACAACACAATATTATCAATCTGACAATAGGTTATATAAAAAGAGTGTTTGAAAAGGAACAATAAGTCTGTTTAACTGAGTTTTTGACCATGTCCTAAAGGCAACAGCTCATTGGTGAATAATAAAAAGTATCTCATGAGATGTTTTCTTTGAGAGTTCAATGGAGGAACTGGGGCATTTAAACAGGTTAGACATGTAGTACTGAAGAACTGAAGAAAGCTTTTTTTTCCATTCCATTCCATTACACACATATTTGTTCTCATATTTACCGTGAGAAAATTAAGTTGAATGTCAGAATTTAAAAGAAAGGTGCGATATTACAGTATTTTCTGATCTGTTATAATGTTTCTTCTCTTCAAAAACAGACCTGGAGTTGTAGTTTGTTTCATTCAATCCGTGTATCATTCATTCATTCGTTTTTCAACATAAAACCAAAAATAACGAAATGAAAAAACAACTATTTTCTTCATTATTTGTCTCCAAAACCGAAATGAAAAAACAGATAATGATTTGTTTTTTCAGTTTTAAATGAATACAGGAAAAACAGATAACTTCCGTTTCCCGTTTTCGTGACTTAAACTGTGACCGGACTTTTGTGCCGCATACGAACTGAACCAGGACTAAACCGTCTTCAGTCCTGGTCTTGTCCCAGTCTCAGTCCCAGTCTCAGTCCCAGTCTCAGTCCCAGTCTCAGTCCCAGTCTCAGTCCCAGTCTGGTCCTGGTCTAAGTCCTGGTCCCGTTCCCGGTCTCAGTCCTGGTCTAAGTCCCGTCCTCGGTCCCGTCCTCAGTCCCGTCCTCGGTCCCGGCCTCGGTCCCGGCCTCGGTCCCGGCCCGGTCCCCTCGGTCCCGGCCTCTCCGGCCTCGTCCCGGCCTCGGTCCCGGCCCGGCCCGGCCTCGGTCCCGGCCCGGTCCCGCCTCAGTCCCGGTCTCAGTCCCGGTCTGGTCCCGGTCTGGTCCCGGTCTGGTCCCAGCCTCAGTCTTGGTCTCAGTTCCAGTCTGGTCCCGGTCTCAGTCCTGGTCTAAGTCCTGGTCCTGTTCCTGGTCTCAGTCCTGGTCTCAGTCCTGGTCCTGTTGCCAGTCTCAGTCCCGGTCTCAGTCCCGGTCTCAGTCCCGGTCTCAGTCCCGGTCTCAGTCCCGGTCTCAGTCCCGGTCTCAAGTCCCGGTCTCAGTCCCGGTCTCAGTCCCGGCCTCAGTCCCGGCCTCAGTCCCAGTGTGGTCTGGTCCCGGACCTGGTTTAGTCTTGTTTTAGTCCTGGTTCAGTCCGTATCCGGTGCAAAAGTCCGGCATCGCAGTTTAAGTCACGAAAACAGTTGCTTTTTCGTTTTCTTATTTTTGGTTTTATATTAAAAAACAAATGAATGAATGATATATAGATTCCATTCACACATGTTTAACACCGTCTGACGTCATGTGGTAATAAAGGAGGGGCTCCACTGTGTTTTTAAAGTCCATACCCCAGTTCTGACTCAGTTCAAACTGAAAAAGTGCCTTGGATGAGCTACGAAATGAAACTTTTGTCCACTCAACAAATTGACTGAATTTCTCCTTTGCCGTGAATTCACACCATAACTTTTTTTTTTTTTTTTTCCAAGAAGCAAATAACGTTTCCAGTTCTTGGTATTGTTCAGATGATGGGAAAGTCTGTAATCTTTTTGAGCAGAAAATTAAATTAAACCCCGCGTGAATAGCATCAAACCACATCACTATAATCTTATCAGTTATGGCGTGTTTATTACAAGAAAAACAAATGACCCAGTTTCTAAGTTTAAACATTTGGAGCCTTGTGAACATAAAAACGGTATCACTGGAATTTGAGTTTTGATAATGCATTTCTTTCACTTTGCTATAAACCGTTTAGACGTTTTAATTGACGAGCAGCCGGCGCCTCACCTGCAGGGAGCGGAGCGCATTATAGAGAGCGGGCACAGGGGGCGCTCTTCGGACGTCCACCAAAACCGTCAGACCCAGGGCTTGTACCTCCTTCCTGCTCCAACACAAAGACGTACAAAATCAGACTATTATGCAAATTTTACTGTGTATGTAAAATGTAAACTGTCTGTGTTAGCATCATATACACAATGACAAAAATAAAACTTAAATTAGAAAAAAATAAAAATAAAAAATTGGAAAGTTATTACAGATTATGGGAAACCAGATTGTAAGATTATGTAAAATGAGAAGGCAAAAAGAACTGACCAGTAGTAGTAGAAAGAAAGAGCTAAACATGTTTTTAAAGGTGAAATATGTAACTTTCCTGAATGTTCCGAAGTATGGCATTAAACCTTTCTGACTTGTACTCAATTACAGGTGTTATTATTGCAAAAAATCCCTCCAAACTGTCTTCTGATTCTGACCTGTAACTCGGCCTGTAGTCGCAATGGAAATAAACATATGTAATGCCGTAATAACATCTCCATGGAGACAAGCAGGTGGCATATCATCTACCAGAAAAGTTACACAATGCACCTTTAAATGAGATCATATCGCTGTGCTCTTTACCTGAGAGTGGAGAGGTAGTAGAGCAGGACTTGCAGCAGTTCAGCGCTGTCACAGTCTGGACTGGTCCACAGTGGACTTCTGAGGTTTGCAGTCACAACAGCTCGACCACCTCTGTCTCTGGATCCTGCGAAAAGACAAACAAAACACAATTAAAAACATTATTAAAAAACATTTCTAGTATAAAAACCATCATTGTTGAAAATCTTTATTTTTACCACCGTCTGGTCTTGGAATGTGTAACTTATATAATACTTAATGAACTGGACAAAACAGGAACCAGACCAGAATCAGATCAGAACCTGAGACTCGACTCTGCACAATCTAGAGTTTGTATATTTGATATTATATGGAAGCCCGTGCATTACATTTGAAACATTTAGGCTCGTCTATGAAATCCAAACAGTACAAGATCTTACCAAATAAAAACAAGATGACAGAAGCCCCACAGCCTCTCTCCCCCGACCGCCCCCACTCCCCTGCACTGCCACCATCTCCACAAACCCACCGCAGAGCACACCGAAACATCGGTCCCACCGCTCAATAGATGCTTCATGCCGCTGTTTCCACCCTCCCCGCGCAACATGCAAACAAACAGCGCCATGTGATGACGCCATCGGCCGCGCAGGTGTGAACACGGGCCACCGAACCCCAGGTAACAGCACCCAAGCACGGCACGGCCCAAAAGTCCCAGCGTAAGTGCACCTCTAGTACAACAGGCGCTGGGACAGACAGTCGCGCTAACTGGACGTCCCTGAGCAAATCCCACTTCTTGGTTTAAAAAAAACAAACAAAACTGTTGTGTGCTGTGTGTTATATACATATATTATTTATCCGATACCTGATGGGCACATAACGTCCAAGTCCGGATTGAGTCAACTAGGGGACAACCCTATTTAAAGGCTCTATAAAGGTGATTTTGCATAATAACTTGACTTTAACATTATATTGAACACCTCCGGCTTTTGTTTGTCATTTTGAACTGGATTTCATCATATAAACATAACTATAATCTAAAATTGATCATAACCACCTCCAGCACTTTCTGAAATATTACTATATATAACTAACTAACTAACTATATAACTAATATTTCTTTAAAGCCCACGTAACATGACCCAAATGAAAAGTTTAATGTATGCTATATTTGTCTCAACACTACATCTCACCAGGCAGACAGAGGACTCCGGAGCTGAGCAGGACCCTGTTGAACCTGGACTGAGGAGACTTGGACAGCTGCAGAGGCGCAGACGGGTTCAGTTCAGATGGAGACGGAGTTTCTGGAGATTTGGGGACTGAACCGTTGCTCAGACCAGGTTTGGGGTGAATAGCATTTGAACCTGAACAGAAAAAGTTAATATAGTAAACAAAAAAATGTAGCTTTCATAAAACAAAACACATATTTAAAGGTACAATGCAGCTTTTCTGGGGTCTGCCACCTGCTTGTCTCCATGGAAATGTTACAGATTGTGGAAAATAAAAACTTAAATAAGCAAGAATTCATGTTTTTCAAGGTATTTTAAGTAATAAAAACCTGTAATGAGGCAAAATAATCAAGTTTAATGCCATTTAATAAAAATCAATAATGTATCTATGGAGACAAGACCATGACAGACCCTCCCAACAGAAAAGTGCTGCAGATTTAAAGTTGCACTGTGTAACTTTTCAGGCTGATGTTTCACAGTATGGCATTAAACCTTTCTATCTTCAAGGAGACCAAACTAGACCAAGTTACAGGTCAGATCTGTGGAGAGGCGACCCGCTTACAGTAAAAATGCCTGTTTCTTGAGGTATTTTTGAGCGATAAAACCACCTGTAATTTAATAAATGTAAAGTAGAGCTGTTTAAAGTCATACTGCGGAACATTCCAGGCAGAGCTATGACATCTCCATAGAAACAAGCAGGTGAGGGACCCTCCACCAGAGAAGTTATGATCATTTTCAGACAAACCCAGACTAAAAGTGGACTAAATCAGGGGTAAAAAAAAGGAGAGGTGAATACTTTGACAATACATATACATTTGTTAATTAATTAATAAACTAATAAACCTGAATCCGTGTATCATTCGTTCATTTGTTTTTCAAAATAAAACCAAAAATAAGAAAATCAAAAAACAACAATTTCTTTATTATTTGTCTCCAAAACTAAACTTTTTGATTTTGTGTTTAAATGAATAATGGAAAAAACGGATAACGGACGTTTCCTGTTTCCGTGACTTAAACTGCAAAGCTGGACATTTCCGCCGCATATGGACTAAACCAGGACTAAACCAGGACTAAACCAGGACTGAACCAGGACTGAATGTCGGGACGGGCCCGGAGACCAGGACCAGAACCAGACCAGACCGGGACCAGACCGGGACCAGACCGGGACCAGACCGGGACCAGACCGGGATTAGACCAGGATTAGACCAGGATTAGACCAGGACTGAGACCAGGACCAGAACCAGGACTGAGACCAGGACCAGAACCAGGACTGAGACCGGGACTGAGATCGGGACCAGACTGGAACAGACCAGGACCGGGACCAGATCTGGGACCAGACTGGGACTGAGGCCAGGACTGAGGCCAGGACTGAGACGAGGACTGAGACCGGTTTAGTCCTGGTTTAGTCCAGGTTTAGATTTGCTTCAGTCCTGGTTCAATCCTGGTTCAGTCTTGGTTTAGTCCTGGTTCAGTCCTGGTTTAGTCCTGGTTCAGTAATGGTTAAGATCGGTTTTAGTCCTAGTTTAGTCCTGGTTAAGTTCAGTTTTAGTCCTGGGATCAGTCCTGGTTCAGTCCTGTTTAGGTCCGGCATTGCAATTTAAGTCACGGAAACGGGAAACATTTTGGTTTTGGAAACAAATAATAAAGAAAATTGTTGTTTTTTTTAATCGTCGTTTTCTTATTTTTGGTTTTATTTTGAAAATTTTTTTTACGAATGACACACGGATTCACCTGCACTATATATATTTTTTTCTTACTGTTTTACAAATTCACAAAAGAGGTTAGGTTGTATTGATTACGTATAGTGAGAAAAAGGAGACAGTTATTTAGTTTGAAGACGAAGACTGTAGTTATAGGATCTTTAGCTCATATATAACAGAATAAATGTTTGTTATTATAAAAGAGGAGAGGAGGAAGAGGAGGAGGTAGAGAATAGGAACGATTCTGGAGGAGGAGTAGCAGAAGGGGGAGGGGTGGACTAGACACTGATTCTGTACCTTCAGTGGGAACTTTGTTAGTATTACGTCCTTTCCGTGACTCAACAACAGCTTTAGTTTCTTCCGTCTTCACTTTAGGTCCATTGACTGGCTCTTGTAAGTTTATTTGCTGCACTTTTGGACTCTCAACTTGCCCGTTTTGATGCTCAAACGATTCAGAGTTTGTAAGTTTTAAATCCAGCTTATCTTCTTTCTTCGAATCTTCATTTTTAAGTCCGCTTTCTGGCAAAATCATAACTGGTTTTGCTTCTTCTACCTTAACAATGTTGGACGTTACAGGCGCTTCACAGTTTTCCTTTTGGATTTTTTCGTTTTTGTCCTCAATTATGTCTAAATTTGACAATAAGTGCTCAGTTTTCCCATTTTTGTTATTTTCCATATTGGATATTTGAGAAGGTAAACAAGGAGTTTGGATATCCACGGGTGATGTCGCTTCCTGAATTTGCGAATCGCCGTTTTTAACTCCTGGTTGGTCCGAAACGCTTTCAACGTCAACAGTCTCTGGCGTTTCTAGAGAAGATTTTTCCGAAGATTCAGCGATTTCGTCCAGATTTGACAATAAGTGCTCAGTTTTTGCGTTTACAGTCACAGCAATCTCAGAATTTAAGCAAGGAGTTGTATCCAAGGGTGTTTCTGCTTCTTTATCTGAAACTGTGCTCTGAACTTCTGGTTGGTCTAAAACGCTTGAATCTTCAACTCTTTCTGGTATTTCCTGAGACGATTTTAACTCCTGATTTTCCGGAAGTTCAAAAATTGTGTCCAGTTTAAGTGCGTTGTCTGAGTATAGTTTGGATTCGTTGTTATTACCGTCTTGTATTTTGGAATCATTAGGTTGTGGAAACTCAACCTCTTCCTTCCCTTGTGGACTTTCAGTTTCGTTTTGTAAATCCGCTTTATCGTCTTCAACGGATTTCTTGCTAGACAGATCTTCAACTTGCAATATTTCTTCTTCAAAACTCAAAACATTTTCAACGTTTTTTGGTTCACTTTCTCCGTCTGGCGTCGCTGTTTCTTCACTTCTTGCAGTCGCCATGTCTTCTTGCGTGGAGCTTTGCTTTTCTTCCAATTCTTCGTGGTTTCTTTGCAAAATTTTACTTTGCAAATATTTAAATTCCATCTCCAAAAGATCAATTTGCTCCTCTAAGAACGTAGCACTAGAATATGAATGCGTTTTATCTGTACTCTGCATTTCTGTTTGGCTTGTTTCCACATCGTTTTCAACTTTGTCCACTATTTCAGACAGAATATTTTTAATTTCAAGATCGTCAAAGTCTGGTTCATTTGACATTTCAAGACCTGGAAAATAAATTTTTGTTTCAAAAATTGTTGTCTCCTCTTCATCAACTTCACAAATCTGTTTTTCAGTCAGATCTTCTAAACTTTCCGAATAAGGAATTTCTGTTTGCTCATCTAGTTGGATATCGTCAATTTCAATTTCCGTCTTCTGACTATCAACGATTTCATGGACTACTTCCAAGCTTGAAAATTCAGGCATTTTTTCAGCATTTTCACTAACAGCATCTTCAGTTTTACATAGTTCAGATTGCGTTTTATCAGTAATCACATCTTCTTCATGATTTGTTTCGATTTCAGTTTGAGTAAGTGAGTTCTCTTCACTTTTGTCCAAATCCAAAATGATTTCATCAGAGTCTTTTGAGTCCATGTCTTGCGTTTCCGATTGTTCGGCATTTTCTTTTTCCAAATCAAAATCCGAATCATCCGGTTCTACAAACTCAGACTTGGTTTCAGACATTTCGTCTTGAGTTTTTTGCGCGTTCTCAAATTCCGCGTTCAAACGTTGCATGTTCATCTCAAACAGCTGGTACTGCGTTTCCATTTCACACTGGTCGCCCGATATGAGCTGAACGAAATCGTCAACTAAATCGTCTTGCGAGTCGTCCATTTCTGAAAACCGCAAGTCTGTCTCTCCAAAATCGTCCATTTTGTTAACACATTTTTCACTTTGCGAGTCAAAAAATTCAAAGCTCCCACAACCGGTTGCTTCCAAATATATAATGCGCGATTGTGACTCTTCGCCCTGCTTTTGAAATTGGTCGTCGATGTACGCGTCTAGTGATGGTTCGACCTTTTCCGATGGTTCAGCTGTACTTTTGCAATACTGTTTACCGTTTTCAGACTCAAGCGTGTTATCCTCAAGACTTTGGCTTTCTGTGGTATCAAAATATTCACTTTCTGTATTGTTTTCAAGATTAATCTCCTCTAAATTTGTGTTTTCAGAGTGGAAATCAGATCGTGTTTTTTGCGTTAGTTCAATTTCTATACATGCGTCTTTTAAATCTACGTTATCCAACTCTGTGCAAAGCGTTTTTCCTACATTTAGATCCTCGATTTGATCTAAAAGTCCACTCTCTTGCTCTTCTCTTTCGTATTTATCCCGCGTCTCGATTCTTTCAACTAGCGCCACCTCTCTGTCCTCCCCAGCGTTTCTTCCAATCGACTCTACCTCCGCTTCCTCCTCTACACTTTTACTAGCAATCGCTCCGTCTTTCCTTTCTTCGATCAAATCTACATTCGCTAAACCGTCAGCTACAGGTTCTAAAACTTTCTTTTCGACTTGTTTTGCGCTTTTGGTCACGTTTGTGGCTTCTGTCGGACTCTTTTCGTTAACGGAAACCTCAACAGCGCGAGGTTGAGGGACTGGTGTAAGAATAACAGGCACACTGACAAATTTAAAGCAGCTTTCTTCGTGAATTGGCTTTGGATCATTGAGTTTTGAATCCGTACATGAGCTGGATGAGTCTTTTGAAGCTGCTGTTAAGAGCTTTGGAGTGTTTTGAAATTTCGCTGGAACGTTTTGCTGCGCTTTTCTTTTGTCCGCCGAAGTTTGCGCGCTAGTCCGTGCTTTGTGCTGCTGGCTGATCAGTTGAGTTAGCGAACCTTTTTGCGGCGAAAACCGGGGCAACGTCAAATCCGCCAGCTCCACGTATTCGCCTTCCGAGTCTGAATCGTCACTGCTCGGAGTTGATTGACTGACAGTACATGACAACGGCGTTTTACCTTGCCCCAAAGTGCTTAACAAAGTCTTTTCTTGCATTGTGTCTGGTTCTAAAGGCGAACTGAAGTCTTTTACGTCTTTTAACGAAGATCTAGGTCTACTGACAAACTGTGGGTAGACTAGATCCTCCCAGGGCACCCTAAAAACATCTCCGTGCGCCGAAAGCAAGAGTCTCTCCATTCTGGACACCCCCCTCTCCTCGCGATCCCTGTTCACCGAATCCAACCAAGCCATCGTAAACAGAGAGCTCAGGGCTAGCTCCGGTATCTCTTGCTCTTCCACATGTCGGCTGGTCGTGGAGATGCTGCAGAGGAGGAGGCGAGGGGTGGGCGGGCCTGAACGGGAGGAGTTGCGACGGGAGGAGGAGGCGGACGACGACGATGAGGAAGAAGAGGAGGAGGAGGATGAGGTGGGGGAAGAGGAAGGGGAGACCAGGAAGTAGAAGTCGCCCGGCCGGAGCAGATGTTGGTCCAGGTGGCACAGTTGGACGACTATCTTCTCGTGGAGGCACAGCGGCCAGCCCTCGTGACGGAAGAGCAGACCACAGTACGGCAGCTAGGGGGCAGAAGAGAGAACAGAGAAAAAGAATTAGATTAGTACGCTTAGTCTTCACTGTTTTGGTTCCTGCTATCTACATAAACATCACTGGTTGAGTGGTCAGATCCATCGACCCACAGGTTGGCAGTGCAATTCCAGCTCCCAGAGATGAATGCTGTCATTGTGTCCTTGGGCAAGACACTTATCCCACCTCACCCCCAGTGTCTGTGTACATTGGTGCATGAATGTGTGAATGAGTGAGTGAATGAGCGCCTTGAATGCCTTGAAAGTGGAAAAGCGCTCTATAAAAATACGCCATTTACTAAGTTTATGGCGTCTTTATTTGTACCCATGGGTAAATTTGGTTTACAGTCCTTAAGAGGTGTCAAACTATCAACCATTTAACACAAACATTTAGCCCATGTTAACACAGAAGCCATTAGTTGCAGCAAGTCACCTTATTCAAAAATACAATACAATACAAAAATACAATTTAAAAATACAACGAAAAAAACTTCCTACTCCCCAGAAACTTCCCCCAGTTTCTTCGGGGGAACACCAAAATAAAGAGTATAGTATTAAAAGGTCTATATTACTGTATTTTTCGAACTATAAGTCGCACTTTTTTTCATGGTTTGGGTGTTTCCTGCGACTTATCCTCCGGTGGGACTAAAATTGTCACACTGACAGCCGCGAGAGGCTCTAGGTTTGTGTGTCAGTATCAGCTGCTCCTATTACTCCTGTACCACTGTCACTTCACTCTACTGCACATGTCTCCTGCAGAAAGAGCCTCTGTCCTGTCTGTATCATGTCAGTCGATCGCACCATTACTTCTGTACCAATTTAAACAAACTTATAAAGACGACTGAGAAGACTGAACACAAATGGCGCCAAAAATAAAATCATATTTTGCAGATTACAAGCTGCAAGTAGCAAAATATATAAATATAAATAATTATTCAGATAACTATAACAACCTGTTCTATTGCTATTACTATACCTTGCCTTTCAAGATGAAATGTCAGTCCCTGGTCTCTGATTTTATAAAATACATTTCCCCCAAAAAGTGTGACTTATAGCCCGGTGAGACTTATATGTTTTTTTTCTTCTTCAATATGCATTTTTTTGGCTGGTGCAATTTACACCATGGAGCGATTTATAGTCCGAAAAATACGGCACTCTATTTTAGATTTATGTCATTATGTTTTCTCAACACAAACATATCTGGAGTTTTGTTTTGTTTCCTTCACACATTTAACACACTGAGTTCTTCTCTCAAACAGAAAACACTCAGGAAGTGCTCCATTGTTTTATAAACACCGTGCACCTTCACTAGAATCATTTGGATTATCTGAACAAACGACAAAACGTAGCTGTTAACTTGAAAACTACCACGACATGACATTGCATTTTGAGCTTTGGAGATGTAGACAGGATTACTCAAACAAACAAAACACAACTGCAGGTATGTTTTTGTTGAGGTAACCACATTCTAACACGTCGTAACCCTCATAAGAGTCAATTTTGCGTAACAAAAAAAAAAAAAAAAAAAAAAAACCTTTGAGAAGTCAGCACCTAATCACAGCACATTCTTTTAAGGTGAATGGTTGCGCACTAGTGTATTCATGCCGTCGTATAAATTAGTCATTATGTCGACTGGCGCAATAAAAACACAGGTTGTGGTTTTCACTTTGGTTGTACTGGTAACTGAGTCAAACATTTGGAACAATAACTTTTTTCTTCAGCCTCCTCTGCTCGTGTTTGTCACCGGAGTTTTTCACGTGTGCCAGAGCCACTCCTTCAGGTGAGCAACGATCGAACCAGTCGCCTTATCCAAACATGACACACGCCGCAAATACGCGAAGGGTTCAGCGGGCAAGAATCGACTAGACCTGGGACTGGAGAGAAGAGAGAGAGAGAAGAGAGAAGAGAGAAGAGAGGAGGAAGAGAGAGAGAGCGGGGTGGTGGAGAGAGAAATAAGTGAGACAGAGAGACAAGGGGGTGAAGAAAAACAAGAGAACAAGAGAAATGTAGAGAGGAGAAATTAGACAGAAAGAGTTAGAGAGAAAAAGAGAGAGACAGAAAGAGAAGGAGAAAAGAGGAAGAGCGATGTGGGGTAAAGAGAGAAGTGGGGGTGAAGAGAAACAAGTGAACAAGGGAAATATAGAAAGGAGGAGAGAAATGAGACAGAGGAGAGAGAGAGAGAGAGAGCGAGGGTTCAAGAGTTAGAGAGAAAGAAAAAGAGAGGGGAGGAAGAGAGAGAGATGTGGGGTAAAGAGAGAGAGGTGGGGGTGAAGAGAAGAAAGAGGAGAGAAAGAAAGCGTTATAGAAGGAAAGAGAGACAGACAGAGAGAGAGAGATGATGTGGGATAAAGAGAGGGAGGAACAAGAGAAATATAGAAAGGAGAGAGAAGAGAAAGAGGAAAGAGAGTTAGAGAGAAAGAAAATGAGAGAGAGTGAGTGAGAGAGAGAGGGAGTAGAAGAGGAAGAAGAGAGAGAAGTGGAGGTGAAGAGAAACATGAGAACAAGTGAAATATAGAAAGGAGGAAAGATGACAGAGAGGAGAGAGAAAGAGACAGAGAAGAGAGAGAGAAGTAAAGAGAGAGAGGAGGGAGTGAAGAGAAATAAGAAAACAAGAGAGATCAGAAAGAGAAATAGAGGTGAAAGAGAAAGAGAGGAGAAAAGAGAGGTGGGGGTGAAGAGAAACAAGAGAACATGAGAGATGCAGAAAGGAGGAAAGGGATGAGAGAGAAAAAAGGAGGACAATGAGAGAGGGAAAGAGAAGAGAGAGAGAAAGAGAGGAGAGGGAGGCCAGGAGAGATGGGAGAAAGATAAAGGAAAGAGAGGGAGAGAGAGAGAGGAAGAGAAAAAAGAGAGAAAGAGAAACAAGAGGGGAAGGAGAGACATAGAAAGAAAGAGAGGAGAGAGGGAAGACGGGAGAGCGGCGGCAAGACAGTAGATGAGTGTTTCCCTCTAAACCAGAGAAACAAGAATGAAAGCGAGGAAGAGAGAGAGAGAGAGAGAAAAAGAAGAGAGAGAGAGACAAACGGAGAGAAAGAGGGAGGGAAGGAGGGAGTGTTGACTAATCAGTGAGAGTCTGAATCACTCTAAACACAACTCAGCCCTGTAATCTAACTCAAAGCTTTTCCAAACATGTTACATCAGACAAACAGGTACAGAGTGTGAAAGAAATCCTGCCCTAATCTTCCTCCTCGATCCACTTTATCCACGAGTATTAAAGGTAAAAACATATTAAACTATTTCTCGGACTCGGTTTACACACGTTCATCGATTAAAAATGTGTTCAGGGAAAAGAGATTTGGAGTAATTATGTTTGGAAAAATGGAAAAGTGGCGATGATTTTACTCTAATTGGGACAAAAGTAGAAATATTTGTAGTTTCTCCGTTTATTATTCTTCACAAAAAGGAGGGTACAGTTCAAAAAAATTACTAAACCAGGACTAGACTAGGACTAGACCAGGACTAGATCAGTTCTAAATCAGGTCTAAACCAGGAGGGCTAAACCAGGACTAAACCAGGACTAGACCAGGACTAGACCAGGACTAGACCAGGACTAGACCAGGACTAGACCAGTATATCAAGACTAAACTGGGACTAGACCAGGACTTAAGCAAGACTAGGACCAGGACTAAACCAGGAATAGGACTACTCCAGAACTAGACTGGGACTAAACCAGGACTAAACCAGGTTTAAACCAGTTCTAAATCAGGTCTAAACCAGGAGGAGTAGACCAAGACTGGACCAGGACTAGACCAAGACAAGACCAGGACTAAACTTGGACTAAACCAGGTTTGAACCAGTTCTAAATCAGGTCTAAACCAGGAGGAGTAGACCAAGACAAGACCAGGACTAAACTAGGACTAAACCAGGACTGAGCCAGGGCTAAACCAGGAGTAGACCAGCGAACCAGGACTAAACCGGGGCTAGACCAGGAAGAGGACTACTCCAGGACTAAGCCAGGAGTAGACCTCAACCAAGCCAGGACTAGACCACAACTAAACCAGGATTAGACCAGGACAAGACAAGAACTAGACCACAACTAAACCAGGATTAGACCTGGGCTAGACCTGGACTAAACCAGGGCTAAACCAGGACTAAAGCAGGACTAGACCAGGAATAGGACTACTCCAGGACTAGACCAGGACTAAACCAGGAGTAGACAAGGACTAGACCAGGACTAGACCTGAATTGAACCAGGACTAAACCAGGAGTTAATCACAACTAAACTAAGACTAAACCGGGACTAGACTAGGACTAAACCAGGACTAGACTAGGACTAAACCAGGACTAGAAGAGGAGTAAACCAGGACTAAACCAAGAGTAGGCCACGACTAAACCAGGACTAGACTACGACTAAACCAGGACTAGACCAGGACTAGACCAGGACTAAACCAGGACTAAACCGGGAGTAGACCACGACTAATCCAAGACAAGAATCCAAGACCAGGACTAGACTGGGACTAGACCCATACCCATTTAAACTAGGTATAAACCAGGAGTCGTAGACCAGGACTGGACCAGAACTAGACCAGGACTAAACCAGGACTAGAACAGGTCTAGAACAGGTCTAACATCAGGACTTAAGTGGGCTCAAACCAGGACCGGAGCGGGACAAGTGTGAGCGCAGCCTTAATCACAGCTGCAGTTTTAACATGTCTTTCAATCACGGGCCACTGGGAGACTTTAGTGAAATATTTACATCTCGGGGCTACAGTTTAATGTGCAGATGACGGATTTTCATGTTATTTTTCCTTGAGTTGGTGGGACAGTTCCTGCGCTAAAACGTTTATCATAGTTTTACACCAGTTAAGTGACAGTTTGTGGAAAAAAAGTTGAACAGAAAGGAAGTAACGGTGAGATGTAAAACAGAATACCTCGACTTTTGGGAGGCACAGATTTATCTTTTCAGTTCGGAAACGGATTATATCTTTAAGTATCTGTCGCTATCAGATATCGACCAAGATCAAAACTGCATTTATTTCCTTTAAAGGTCCAGT